TTAATTATTACAAGTTAAGAATGTTCGGAACCAAGTTCATGATCGAAACTAAGGTTAAGTTATGAATGTACTCAAGCGCACTATGCACGCATGCATACACGCACAACGTGCGCAGCCGTACGCGTAGCCGCGCGCAGCGCGCATGATACGGAAGTGGCTTTGGAGTCCGGCAAGTCTAGTAAGGAGCGAAAAGGCAAAAGGTGCGCATCGGCACTTGTTGCGCACGAGTGGGCGAACAGGCCGCGCACGCGGGTTTGGCGGGGAGAACGCGAGCGCAAGATGGACGGGTGCGCGGGCGTACGCGGGAACGCCGAAGGAGGTCTGGGCTGGGATGGTACCGGGGACGTGCGGGGTTCATGCGGAGAAAGGATCGGGCGCCAAGGGCGCGCATGCGGGGGCGCGGGCGTGCGACATAACGCGCGCGGGAAGATCGGCAGGTGCGAGGCGTGCGCGGAAGCACGCGAGTGGGATGACGCGGATGGTGCCCTAGACATGGGAGGATTAGGCGATGCTAGGGCACTGGGCGCACACGCGCATGGTGGAGTCGGCGGATGGGTCGCGCGCGCAAAGGATGCCGCGTGGGGGGTAAGCGCCCGGGTTACCGCGCGCTACGAGGAGTAGGAGTGGCGAGGCGGCGCGCGCAGGTGGCACGCGCGCGATGCGTAAGAGGCGGCCAAAGGAATTTTAGGGCGTAGGGTCTTAATATTAGGGAGCTTCTAGATTTGCTTGGTGTGCAAGCCAAGCATTAGTATTTTGGTAGGCTTAGGATTTTATTGCTTTCTAGACTTAGGATTTCTATTCTTGCATGATTTAGGAGATCTATTAGATTTAGGCCTAGATTTATTTTGCACCTATAAATACCCCATGTACCCCATCATATTGGACATGTTGAATTGAGTATTGAATTGGTGAGCCAATTTTGAGGGGGAACCTTGTGTTCTTAACGTGTGATAAAGAAGGCCATTAGTGCGTCTTTACATACAGTGTCGGAGAGAAGGCCAATAGTGCGTCTTGAAGTCACGGTGTCTAGGAGAAGGCCGCAGTGCGTCTGCTAGATACATCTATCGGGGATAAACGAAGGCCTCAGTGCGTCGTTTATTCACAACCCAGTATAGACAAAAGATCGATCCGTCATCATTGGCCAAAAGATCGATCCGTCATCTAGTCCTATTTACCGACCATCATGTGTACGATATTGGCCAAAAGGTTGTGGCCCAAAGCTGAGGTCGAAGGTAAGGAAACGGACGGCCAAGAGGCAACGTAAGGCAAAGGCTCGAAAAGAAAGTCAATGTTGGTGCAAGCCTTGTGCGAAGAAAAGACGAGGCCAAAGGAAGGAGGCTAAAAGGCGTGGTTTTCGATGGGTTAAAAATGGATGGTGGGTACCGGCGGATGCTTGTGTGAGGTTGAAGGGTTGGGATCCATGGCCCGAGTCGACGGGAACGAGCGGTAACAAGGAAGACGACTGTGATCGGCTAATGGGCGAAGGGCGCGCATCGGCCCGTGATGCGCGCAGTTGGACCGAACAGGATGAACATGGGTACACGGCTATCGGACAGGCCACGGGCGTCGACTGGGATGCGTTGGCGTTCGGCAGCACAAGAATGGGCGCACGACTAGAATACGAAGAGCGCGCATCGGGCGATAATGCGCGCGATTATGTGCCAGGTGAGGAGTCGGGCGCGCAGGGGCGCGCGGGCGTTGGCTGGGACGCGTGCGAAGAAACCGGCAATGGCGCGGGGCTCGCGGAAAACCGCGAGTGGACATACGCGGGCGATGCGCTGGCAGGAGCAGACCGCGACCGCACAGATTTAAGAGTACCGGGCGTAGGCGCATACGCGCGGGAGACGGGCAACGGATGCAAGGCGCGCGCTGGGCGCGCAAGTGCGGGTGACGCGAGCGGAAATCGAGACCTAGCGGGTGTAGGAGTGCTGTGCACGAATACGCACGCGCGAGCAGGAATCGGCGTGGACGAGGTGTGCACAATGGGCGATGCGTGGGAGCAGCGCGCGCAAGAGACCGAGTTCTGCCAAGGAGTGCGAGACGCGCACATGCGCGAGAGGCGGTCATGAGGCGGCGGGAATTTGGGGCAGCCGAGAGTTGTGAACATGTGAGGAGTTTTGGAGCTTCTAGAATTGCTTGGTGTGCAAGCCAAGCATTAGTTATTTGGTAGCTTTAGGATTTTATTGCTTTCTAGAGTTAGGATTTATTTTATTGCATAGAATAGGAGATCTAGATCTATTAGGCTTAGATTTATTTTGCAACTATAAATACCCCATGTACCTCATCATATTGGAGATGTCTTGGAATTGAGTATTGAATTGGTGAGCCAATTGAGGGGAACTTTATGTTCTAACGTGTGATAAACAAGGTCGTCAGTGCGTGTTTACATACAGTGTCGGAGAGAAGGCCCTGAGAGCGTCTCAAAGTCACAGTGTCTAGGAGAAGGCCGATAGTGCGTCTGTTAGATACACTTATCGTGGATAAACGAAGGCCCTGAGTGCGCCGTTTATTCACACCCAACGTATAAATAACAACACCGATCAGCGGTCCTTCATAAACGGCGCTGCGCATAGCACGCACCATTAAGCCCCTAAGTACATGCTTATGCTACCCTAAGTGCCATGATCAAGCTAAGTAAACCCAACTCCCCTTCTTTAGCATTGCCGTGGAGATTAACCATAGGATAAGTCATGGTGTGCAAGTTGTGTGGTGAGTCACCTACTAGCTTGTACACATGGCATTACACGAGCTCACGGGCGATGACTAAGCCCGTGCATGCGCGCCACCTCGGCAATGACTAAGCCAAACACGCCACACCTCAGCACTTGACCGGAACACATGTCGTCAAGAGGAGAATTCATCATCCATCACCTCTTTGACCTAAGTTAACCCACGGTTTTACCGCCCCTTTAAATAACCGAGCAAGTACATTTTCCCCATGCATCTTCATGAATTTTCACGCAAGAATAAGCCAACTTCAGCATACATTTGAGAGAAAATAGTAAGCAAAAATAGAGGAAAAATTATACAAATAATAGCCAAGGAAGGACGAAGCAAAAAAGAAGCAAGTATGCACGCGTTCGAGCACCGAACAGGCACGCAAGTCACCGTGCATTCCTCATCCGAACTGAAGGGTATACACCTATTTACACTCTTTTCATGTCATTAGGTTCATGTTAAGAATATCACGTCAATATCATGTTGTTCGGTCCGAGTTTTTGATAAAAACGGCCTCGGAGGTGCTATATAAGCCTCTTCGAGTGATTTCAAAATAAAACCGGCAAGTCCCGAGCAATTCATGCATATTTAGTCATTTCCAGTCATTTTATACTCAGTCATATGAGAGTTGCCGGAAAAAGTAGCCAGATGGCCGGCGAAAGGCCGACCGTGATGCCTGTCCGCATACAGCGGGCGCACGGCACGCCCGGCAGTCCCAGCGGGCACGCTGGCAGCATCCGCACGCTCAGTAGTGCGCACGCGTAGCCAGTACCCCGCAGCCAAGCCTCGCGTTGTTGCAGTCATGCGTGTAGGCGTGCACAATGCACGTCAACACGCACGACAGCGTCCGCCTAGCCTGTAACACCCCACTTTGATTTTACAGAAATTCCGGACTTTCCAAAAATTAGTATAAAATTTTCGAGATCATTTTCAAAATTTAGTGGGTGTTAAACAACATTTTTCATAACACAAGTCTTATCTGGGCCCACGGGGATTCATTACCTGGTTTTTCACAAATGGTTTTCATTAACCAAAACATATCACGAGACATAATCCTCAACATGAATATTTAAACCAGACCATCATACCCAAATCAAGGGTTCTACAAGTTTCCCAAAAACAACAAGTCATACGTTTTGGAAAAAGGTTTAAACAAGTCTCCACATAAAGGTCCATAAAAGCCTTATTATTCTACGGATGCATAAAATGCATAAAGAAATGACCGACCCACTCGCCTCTTCTCGTCACCTAGCTCCTGCTTAACCTGCATCGGTGAAGAGTAGGTGGGGATGAGCACAAGATGAAAAACGTGCTCACCACTATGCACATATATCACAACATAGTAATGAAGAGAATGTATGATTAGAGTATGAACATAAAACAATTATTCTGTCACGTCTCCTAATCACATCACAACATAATACCCATGTGTACACATCTTTCATTAGCCAAGGAAAGGGGATTCATTACCCTAACTCATGGGGGTACGTGCCATACGACAAGGCACGACCTTTCATTAGGTCTTACGGAAACTTACCTCGCAAGGTAACCCTATTACATCGACGGGGACAACCGTACCGACGGCCGAATCGGCTCACGCCGATAGGCTACATGGTGTACGTACATACTAAAGTCATACCACATCAACATTATAATTGTTGGGTTCTGTTAGGAACGTCAAACAACATGCACAGTATTGAACTTTATCGAAATAAATCCTAACGCAGCGGAATCTATAGTTAGGATATGGACGTTTACCTTTTAAAATTTTTGCCGACTCTGAGACGATGTAGAGTACCGTTGGTGAAGTTCGTCTGAACACCACAACCTAATGGGCCGATAGGTTTGGCCTTTAATCGATTCTAATCGATACGTTCCACGAAACTCGAACACACGGCACGCGGGTCTCGGTTGTCGGGTGCAGCGGGCGATCGTGCGCATCGGGCGCGGACAGCATGCGGGCAGCGTATGCGAACTGCTGGCGGGACGTGCGGATTGCTGACGGGGCGCGTCGGGCGCTGGGCGTACGCGGAGGACTGCTGGGAGGCGCGAACGGACGCTGGCAGCTGCTGGGCAAGTGC